TAGCAAAGCCTTAGATTCCTTTCGAGGGATTTTTTTTTTTTGGTACAGAAAAAAACCACAAGCTGAAATTAGGCAATGACATTATACAACCTAACAATCAACATTGATTTTTTTTTTTTTTTTTACAGAAACATGAGCACAAACAACAGTGTGCTTGCAAAACTGACACAGTGGATCAGCCTCAAAACCTCCCACGTCTGTCTCACATTTGCAAATCCCTGCATGGACCTACACGGAAAATGTATTCAGTCTGCGTTATTTTTCCTTTTTCCTTTGGCAGCATGACAAAAGAGTCCTATGCAATATCAAAGCGCTCCAAAAAAAAAACAAAACACAAATACATTGTTTGACTTGAGAACTTATAAGGCCTTCTTTTTTTCCCTCTAGTTATTTCCTAGATCGAATTGCGTTATCATAACTGTGGAAAATGAATTTGCGCCATCATGAACATCCATTCTGTGCGTATGCGTGCTCTCATTGTGCTGCGTGACCTGCACCCGACACAAGCAAATGGCGAACACCAAAAATAACCAACTATCTACTGGCACCAGCGTCATATGCTCCCGCAACGAGATAACAAGATCGCTCGGAAATTTATACTGCAACCGTCAAGGAAAAGCGTGCATGTGCACGCATGCGTTTCTGGTCCTGTGCTGATCTTTCCCTCGACTCAAGTGTGTTTCTTTCACTTCTTCTATGGATTGACGGCTGTGTTTGAATTTAGTATTCTGTGATCAGACAGACTTCTCTTTTTTTTTCTTCTTAATTACAGTAGTCACTTGGATGCATCAAATGAACCGTAACTAAATGATGCATCGGCTCTGTCGTTGTGTTTGCAGCTGGGCCAAACATCTGAAGCATATTTCTGTCATCGGAACGTTGAATCTTATTTTAATTTAGATGTATTGACCTTGTTTAATTCATTGATGTTTTTTTTTTTCATCTGCATTTGTTTTGAAGGTGGCTCTCGAATAAACCTCGTGCACAGTCAAAGTGAACTGGAAGTTTGTGTTTGGTTCTATTCCGAGCTACATTCAGCCAATTTAGTCTATTTCTTCCGTTAGCATTTTTATTAGTATGAATGAATGAATGAATGATTCCCAATGTCATGATCCTGTTCTTGTGTTTCCAGTAGGTGGCAGTAGAGTGCTTTTCCTCCAGCGTGCACACATGCTGCCAATTTGATCATCATGTTAAGCCACGTATTTAAGGACTTCCCAAGCGCCAAGTCTGCGTCGGATTATTGACCTTGTTGCTGCTCTTGCTCAAGTGTTGTTTTCTAGACCTCTTGGTCTCATCATTTGTCATTTTTGCACTTTAGACTCTCGCTTTGTAAGTATTTGTTTTTTGTCTTTGCTCATGTTTTTGATTTCGTGAAACTGGACTTTAGACATTTCGTTTATTTTATTTTTATTTCATATCTTTGAAATTACATTACATATTTATTTTCAATGCCACATATGTATTTTTATGTTTAGCTTCAGTTGAAAAAGAAGATAATGTCTGTGAGTTAACTGTTAAAATTGAGGAGACAAAAGAAAATGATTCTAATATGCAGTAATAATCAGTTGTGTCTACTTTTGGAGGTCACCCTCAAGCCGTACGAGTGAGGGGGGTATTCATGGGAGGATAAAAGGGCTCGAGGCGACAAGATAAAAAAGGTTGGCAACAACTGTGTTTGAATATGCTAGAACACAGTCAATAGTCAAGTGCGCAACAGGAATTTTCAAGGAAATTCAATACAAAAACACATCAACTGGATAATTGATTTGGACACAGCACGCTAAAGTCAAAGGCGAAGGCAAAATGGAAAACGTGTCATGTCACAGGTGGTGCGCCTATTGAACATTTCTTCAATAGTTCACAATAAAACCATTCACTCCCACCCCATCCCGCCCGACCCCGTTTCAGAATGAAAATTTACAGTTCTCTCACTCACTTGAGCTGAGATACAGAACTCTCTGGATCAAGGTGAACAATAAGGAGGCCTCTGAAGAAAAATGGGCTCCGTAAGTCGAATCACCACAACGCAATTACAACAAGAATGCCACAAAGCAGCCTGCTGACAGTACAGCACACCGCCGAAACAAACCTCAAAACATCTGAAAGTTATTACACCAAAATGGATCTTAAAGCCAGCCATACACGATCCAACAAGGCTGATGATTGAAATTGCACCATTCCAACTGTGAAACACTGTTGTGGATCACTTGGTCTCGGGGATGAATGAGTTCCAAAGATACAGGGCAAGATGAATGCCACTCAGAAAATACTCGGGGTAAATTTGCACGGATAAGATGAGAAAATATACGATAAGGTGACCTATATTCGTCTCGCAATGGAGAAATTTGCATTCATTCGCGCTAAAGTTGCGCTTGGGACCTACTTGGGCCTATGATTGGGTCCGGATTGATCCTGGAGCTGCCTCGGCTTCCTTAAAACAAAATAAAAGTGCTCTTCATGCAAGGCAGTCCAAGAATTTGTAAGCACTGGAGTCTGTTTGCCCAAAAGAGTTTGCAGCTGCCCCGCAACTAACACATCAATGATGTTTAAAACTGTCAACTTGTCAGTGAAAACCAAATTGTTTGCTAATTGATAGCGTCACACAAACATTAAGAATGAGTGAAAGAAGCAATTTTGTATTACCTGAAAATGGTCCCCAAATCATAAATTCTGCCAAGGTGTTGCAAACTTTTGGCACAATTGCATTTGCTGAAGAGAAACCTGGCGGGTATAAGTGAAGAAGAGTGGGTCTATGGCCTAGCCGACAAAGATCAAACAATGATATGCCCGCAGGTGTTTTCTCTGCTACTTTCAATTCAATATCATGCTTCAAAAGGCTGCCCAGTTTACATCACCTTGAGACGATTTATCTATTCAATCCGAAATGTGCTTGATGTCAAGCTGAGGTAATAAATACACGATGGTGCTTTCATTCATTAAACTGTGGCAGTGGATGGAGGAAACGCAATGATTGTCTACAAAAAAAAACAAAACAAAAAAAAAAAACACGTGTACAACAGTGGGACAGATAACATCACTGTGTAATTGTCGATCGATCATTTTGCTCCTCATGATCAAATAAGTCAAATAGAAACACAGAATTTCAGGTATTTCATCGTCCATGAGCAAATGACATTATTTACTTCAAATAGGAAGTACAGCACTTATATTCTTTCTGCGCACAACACGTGAACTTTCCACCAAACTAATGCTCTCTAAACAAATACATTTAATTATATTTAAATTTTGAGTAACTCACAGCTAATCAACAAGATTATGAAAAGCAACTTGCAAATAATTATTTAAGGCCCTGGATTAATAGGGATATATAATCTTTTTCACCGAAGATCGACTTTTCAAGGAACCAACCTGTGGCGATTGACCCGTTACCGCACAAGCACGCATATACGTACACGCCTGCACGCACACTGGCGTGCCATGATGAGCAACAGCCATAAAGGACCCAGATATGGACGCAACAGAGAAATAAACTCGATAGGAGACAAGACCGAGTTTGTGAAAAGGCTGATCGCAGCCGACCTGAGCGGGGGACCTGATGCGGGGGCGTGGGACGCACTTCTGCAGCGTGTTCAGTGCAGAAAAACGATTGACGATCGGCGCACGCGTACGTTTCTGAAATGCTTTTTCTGGCGCTCCGGATCCCAATTCTTTGACAGTGCCATCGGTGCATTGCGGATCAAACAAAACTTGAACGACAATGTTCGGTAACTATTGTTGAGACAACTTTGTGTTTATGTGTATGCGTGTGTATGGCGGTAGAAGGTGGGGTGTCTGTGTGTGCTTTTTGGTGTTTTATATTGTTGCTTAATGGCAATGAAATTATTATCCATTTATATGGGCATGTAGTGTTGTGATTCCGAACCAGAGTGATGTGTGCCATGAGAAGATTTTCCAAGTTTACTGAATTTGTCTGAAAATCATTACCAATTACAAATGTTCATCTATCTATGCAAGCGACATATAGTGGCAGGCAGGAGAATTAAATATGTTTCCATTGGATGGCGAAAGGTACGACTCACCTGTTGTCTTTCAGGCAATTCGTCCTCATATCGGCTTTGTGTTCAATTAAACAGACGCAGAATTCACACGATTTTAGAGTCAAGTGAGGCAAGATGGTCATTATTTCAATATTCATGTTTTTTTTGGGGGGGGGGTGACATTTTTGTTTTGTGGTGTACCACAGATTAAAATGGGTGCCTTGGCTCAATTAATGTTGGGAAACATTGATACAGTGCTTATACTGTATAGACGCCTGAAATCGATGTTCTGAAAGTGTACATGTCATACAAGTAGAAGTCCTCAATAATTTTACTTTCTTTTTTTTAATGAAAAGCCAAGCACTGATTCATTTCAAATCTAACAATGATGAGGGGTTGGGGGGGTGGATTAATTTAACCCAAGTTGTGCATTACAAGATATTTAAGTACTGTTTTAATATAAATAACATACCAGAATAAATCTTTTTTCTTGTATTAAATTTGATCCACTGTTATGTCCATTTGAGCTCAAGCTCACGTTACCAAATAATGGTCCCTCATTCCAGTGGGTCGGTCCAAATAGGGGGGGGGGGTCACAGTACTTGCCTTGCCCAGGGGTAATCACATCAATCTCGTATCAAATCAATGAAACACCACTGTCACTGCCTACAAGGACTCACTGATCATGACGACATAGTGGAAGTCGCCAGGAACAGACACTCTTAAACACCACTGTAACAAAGCTCAAGAACAAAAAATGTCCCACAACCACATTGTTACGGGAAAAAAAAAAATCATAAAAAAATGTCAGATTGCTGATGCAGCAGCAGGGGGTCTCAATACAGATATGGCCCTATGTTCCTTTAATAACCAGAAAAGTACCCTGCTTTTATACTGAAAAATGTTCAATAGTTCAAAGGCATGTGTCTTCAGATACTGCGTATGAGTGTTTGTCTATTTTTTGCTCTCCCCCCGACCCCCTATCTTCCTCTGACATGTACAAGGAAGACAAGCTGTCAGTTTTATCTCCTTATCCGTCGCAGCGATCTTAGCTGTCCTTGTATTTATTCGTCCCGCACTGTCAGCAAAAGTCCCCAGATGCCTTTTTTTTCTTTTTAAAAATGCTTGCCGAATGTGTAAACCATCAAAAAGAATCCGTTGGTTGCACAAGAAGTTCGAAAAGTATGTGAGGATGATAGCCTCCACATCCAAGCCACACATTTCAGCCTTTTCCACACAAGAATCGACAAACTATCCTTATCAGTGCGGCTTTTCTCCGTCGTGAGGATTGCTCTCGGCGCACGCGTCACACCGTTTCCTGTAAGCAGAGCGCTTCCACCGCATTGCTCGGTCCCTGCGCCACTCCTCCGATGACGAAGAGCATGCCGGTGGTCTGCAGGAGAGCAGACGAGCAGCGAGCGGTGGGCATGGCCGGCACATACTCCCAACGTCGCTTGACCGGGTTGTAGCTCTCGACTGAGCCCAACGGTGACGGCTCATTGCCTGCCAAGACATACACCACAATTAAAACAAACAATGAAAAAAAATAATCGACAATGAAAACACATGATTACAGATGTGTATTTACCGTATTTTCCACACTATAAGGCGCACCTAAAAGCATTCAATTTTCTCAAAAGCTGACAGTGCGCCTCACAATCCGATGTGCCTTAAATATGGATCAATATTCAGATGTCTTGGACAAAATATTTTAAATTTTCTGTTACAGCTGCAGCGGTTGTAAAGGCTCAAGATAAATAAAGCTGTATTGTATTGTATTGTATTCCCTTAGTGTAGCTCCATCTAGTGGCTACATAACGCGACCGCAGCCAGGGCCCTTTAGAAATATAACTGTAGTATGGTATTCTCTTTAGCGTAGCTCCATCTAGTGAATGCATAACACAACCTCAGCGACTATTGCAGCATCGATTATATGCACCTTATAATGCGATGCGCCCAGTATATAAAAACAGTTTTAACATTCATTGAAGGTGAGCCTTATACACACCTTACAGTGTGGAAAATACGGTGTGTGTGTGCGTGTGTGTGTGTGTGTGTGTGTGTGTGTGTGTGTGTGTGTGTGTGTGTGTGTGTGTGTGTGTGTGTGTGCAGCCCTGTGTGTGTGTGTGTGTGTGTGTGTGTGTGTGTGTGTGTGTGTGTGTGTGTGCAGTACCCAGCCCCAATGGCCCCTACTAATTTAAGAATAAAACATTAAGGAAAGAAAACACAGATGCAATTTAGTGCGAAGACATTGGGGAATAGTGGACTAGGAAGCTGCCATTGCGCTGTATTACTCTGGACTCCCCTTTTTAGCAGGAGAATAAATTTAAAGGCAAATTTAATGTCAAACAATAGTCACTAAATATGCTCCTGACTTGATGGCCCATTGGCAAGACTAAATCCATGAAAGCACAAAAACAGAGGGCCGATTTCAAGATGACACATTATCGCATTTCCCAAGTCGTCACTGAAATGTTCTCATTTTCCCCTTCACTTCGTACTTTCCTCTTTTCTTGCGCCCTCTTGGCTCAGGTGCAAAGCTGTCATTGTACATCAAGTACGATCACGTCGTGTCCGTTTCCATGGAGACCCGTATCACAGGGTGAGGTTTGTTGTGCAATAGTGATGGCGCCAAATGACGGCATAGCTGGGGCTACTTAATGATTCGTTCTTTTTATGAAAACACACACACAGGCTCTCTTCGTGTTGCTCAAAGGCTTGCCGTCATCGCTTTGATTTGTCGGCCCACAGATGTCATGTCAATTCTCCAGCTGCTCCCTTTTTTCCTTCCGTGAATCCCATCCCTCATCCGTTCCTTCCTTTGTTGCTCTTTCTCATGTTCATTTTTAATTCTACTTTCATTTTTTGTTATATATTATTCTTTTCCTCCCCAGACCGTTTTTTATTTTTTCTTAACCACACACATCTGTTCATCTGTTTCTGAAGTCGCTTTTACTAACTCTCCTCTGATCTGAGTCTGTCCCACTCTCATTTTGCTTCTTTCCTCTCCAAGGCTTCTTGTCTCAAACGATCTTCCTTTCTTATCTCTTTCGACTGATTTCTTTTTCTTTTTTTTTTTTTATCAGAAACACACAGCGATTCAGCCCTAGTATTTCATTTAGATTAGGGCCGGGCAATAATTCAAGAGCAATATTTATGGTGACAGACACATGATCACTATCAATATAAGATACGTTCGATAAAATATTCGATTTTCAGGAAGAGAACCCCATATGGGCATTCTGTGTGTCGTTGGTGATACAGTATGCCGTTAGATTCGTTCCACAATCTGAGCACAAAAGCGTGTTTGGCATGCTGCCGAGTGGCTGAGTCCCCATTCGCAGAAGAAGTCGCTTGGAGGGAGAGAGCATTTCATTGTTCAGCCTGTCGCGATATGTCACTTGAATCGATACTGTACATAAAGATAGATTATTTGGAGTATGTAAATCAGGATAATTTTTTTTTTTTGGACCAATTAAATGAAATTGGATAATTTCCGGTGGTACACCTGGTCTCACACAGTGGTCGGGACAGGATCACAGAGTCCTAGAGCCTCCACCAGCTATGGACAATAAATCCAGTCTGCGGCTGGATGGATGGATGGCTTGTGGAGCCGACGATGAGAATAAAGGAGCGTCAGCGCAGAGCGCCGATGCGTATGTGGAACTGGGAGTCGCCGCTTGGAATTGAAGCGGACTTACATGGGACAGGAGATGTGAGCCAATCTCTTTTTTCGTCAATGGACGCTACAGCTTCTTGTTTGCTTTCAAACTTAGCTTGTAGCAGACGTGTGCATATTCTCAGCAGGACGTCTCTGATCCACTGGTGAAAGGACACTTTGATTCTCTCCTCTTCCATCTATAACTGCTTCAAACAACAAAGTGGATGCAGAAAAAGTGGTTGAGATTGCACGACTGTCTGTGTCTTATGTGTTGTGTTGTATTATTTTTCCATTTTATGTGAACTGTTCTGTTGATGGCGGGTGTGAGCACCCGCAGTGGCTCCTCTCTCGGGGTGGTTGAGGGGAAAGAAATTTCATCTGTGCTGTATGTCGCACATAGAGCATATTTGACAATAAAGTTGACTTGATTTGACTTGAAATAAGAAGACGACACTCTGGACTGGTCGCCAGTCAATCACAAGCCACATATAGAGACAAACAGCCATTTATGCTCACATTCACACCATCACTAGGTGAGAACTGAACCCTCGCTGCCAGGACCGAAGTCAGGAATGAATCGCTATGTTATTAGTGATGAGATGAAAATTAATTGTCCCAAATGTCTCAATGATTAAAAGAATGAAGAGTCAGGCAATTTCAGGGTGTCTAGTCCAACTCCTGCCTGTCTGTTTTTGTCTTCTGCGTCTCAGGGTGCTCACTACGTAGATGTACAAAACACAGGTATCTTTTATTTCTCCCCAACTAAGTTGCACTTTCAACGCTCCTGACAAAATATAAGTGTGTATGTGTGTGTATGTTTTGTGTGTGTGCAATTATGTGTGTATTTGTGGATTTGCTCGACAAAGAGACACTTGGGCAAGGATAAAAAAAGGCATTTAACCCTTTCATGCACCCTGACACCTGATAACATGATAAGCTGTCCACTGTGGTGACCGCTGTCCCTGCAAGGGTTAAATTCAATTCAATATCGGCATAATAAGCTCATCATTGAGGGGAAGAAAAAGCTCACCTCTGATTAACTGTATCGGTTGCTCACGCTGTATTTACCTGAGCACATTTTGCTCAACCAAGGAGAAAATGGAAAGTTGATGGGGAATTAATTTTAATTTCGAATGTGTCTGTATGTGAGGGGGACTGTGTAAATTTGACGAGATATTTTCAGTGTATTTCTTGCATTATTACAAATCTAAAATATAACAGAGTGTGGAAAGTCAACACTGAGATTATTTTTAACATTTACATAATCAGTGATCACGCTGGTTGACTGGTTAGCACTGTGTGGGTTTTCTCCGGGTACTCCGGTTTCCTCACACATTCCAAAAACATGCGTAGCAGGTTGATGGAACACTCTCAATTGTCCCGAGGTGTGATTGTGGGCGCGGATGGTTGTTTTGTTTCTGTGTTCCCTGCGATTGGCTGGCAATCGGTTCAGGGTGTCCTCCACCTACTGCCCTAAAACAGCTTTCGTACCCCTAAGGGACAACAATGCACTTTATTTTCTGGGAGTGTACAGTATGGTAATATGAGGTGTGACATTTGACATGCATTCTGAAATCACTTCAATTTTGAGAATGAAAATGTGACTGAAAAGGAGCAGAAGTGGCACGTGAAAAAGAACAAAGGTCCAAAAGTACTGACCAAGACCACCAGCCGCAATGACCCGTCCACCTAGACAACCTGCTACAAAGTCCGCCCTCTTCTCTCGCATCTTTGACGTTCGACTGGGTTTGATCCAGATGCCTGACAAAGGTCAGAAAGAGGACAAAGAGATTAGTCCCGAGTCATCATTTACCAAATAAACATATTTCAAAGATTAAATCGTGAGACGGTTCTAGATCAAACATGTGTCCTTGGCGGGGTCTCGGGGAGCTTGAGCCACTCCGGTTTACATTACCAACACAAGATCTTTGGTGAACGATGAATTGACTTTTGGAGCCTGCAGCGCAAATTTGGTATGACAACTGTAACTATAAGACACTTGCAATTGCTCAAACTAACAAAACATAGTTTTGCTGATTGACCCGGAAGCCAATGGATGTGACAGCCACAAAACTTTTTCAGAGATTCTCTTTGCTCTTTTTCAGATGGATTTCGGAAAAGGTGCGAGAGCTCAGCTGTTATCGTATATGTGCACCTCACTTACAGCCTGGGGATACTGACTTCCCATGAAATGGTGACGTTTTGAACACAACACAAAATCCCCGGCGTATGACTGCATTGGCATCAACAACAACAACAGCAAGAGATATTTTAGCAGAAAGAGCAACTTTTTCAGCCATTCGAGCTCTGTGCATGCAAACAGCTGATTATTTCCTGTTTACATTTCAAGACTGCTACTCAGAATTTACACTGCATCGCTATCCAAGATCATTGTTGGAGAGGAAAGGCCGATCATGTTAACAGATAACCGGATGTGGCTGGACAATTGCAGTCAGAGGAAGGAAGGGCGATGCCACTATGAGTTCTCTGACATATTTTCTGCTAGCAAAAGATCAGCTATTCGGCCGGAGCCCAGCGGAAAGTCAGATAACAAAATATATCTATCCATCCAACCATTTTCTGATCCACTTTATCCTCACAAGGGTGGCGGGGCGTGCTGGAGACTACCCCAGCTATCTTCGGGCAGTGAGTGGGGGGACACCCTGAACCAGCCAACCGCAGGGCACAGAGAGACGAACAACCATCCGCGCTCACACTCACACCTAGGGACAATTTGGAGTATTCAATCAGCCTGCCATGCATGTTTTTGGAATGTGGGAAGAAACCGGAGTACCCAGAGAAAACCCACCCAGGCACGAGGAGAACATGCAAACTCCACACAGGAAGGCCGGAGCTGGAATCGAACCTGTTACCTCTGCACTGTGAGGTCGACGCGCTAACCAGTGGGCTACTGGGCCGCCCCTAACAAAATATAATGTTGTCAAAATGGAAAACAATAGCTGGAATCCAAAGAGACAAGAGTTGGAATTGTACAAGAACAAAGTTGTGATCATATGAGAATAATTTATTTTAGACAAATAATTACAATGCCATCATGAGGATAAGCACTTTCCTAACTTTAACCCCCCCCCCACACACACACACACACACTCTCTCTTATACGCACAGCATTGGACAATTGCTGCAATGCGGGTGAGATTAATCCATGTTATTGATCAACCTGTGATCGCTTCACTAATTTGCACTGCTTATGAGAATTGAGTGTCCAAAGTACTCCCGGAGAACGGCCACCCTGTATTTTACTCTTTGTGGCTCAGCACCACATGGGGACCCAGACACGACGTTCGTTCAGCAGATGATCCTTGACACAGCAATTACTGCAACTCAGTCGTCTCCAGCGGTGCTGCGGGCGGACATTCAAGAGCAGCGGGGGTGCAAGAAATGCACTTTGCACCAGCCTGCTAATGGTTACATTTGGTCTTGCGCTTAGTCAATGCAGATTTGTCTCGAGGCTAGCTCCACAAGTACACGTTGCCATCAATCGGTTCCACTGTCATACATACGGTGGAACCCTGCGCGACAAACACATTACAGTGGAATCCCATGAATGGTTTTCTTCTTGATTTGATGCCTGAGCCTCCGAGCTAATCCTCATTCCAATGCATGAGCCAACTGCAATAAAATTTCAGTCATTCCAGCCCCCTGATTCTTGCACGAGCTTGCCAAAGGAAGTGACTGAAAACCTGAATTCAGCAAATTGAGCGTTACCCCAATGTGCAGGCAGTCCCTATTTGCATTTGGTCAGGTTGTAGGTTGAGGACCTGTGATTTATGACCACTGTGCTGTATGAAATTACCTCACTTCACTTAAACCGGTCAGAAAATTGTTATTCATGACATAAGGACAATTTGTTCATCTATCGATGCTCGTGACGTACAGGCAGCACTTCACACAGACGGTAGATGGTACAATGAACAAATTATTTCTTCTGGATCGTGTCGAACGAAGAAGCGGGTCAGACAGCGGGTTAGGCTGTTAATTCAGGACTATCGGCTGTTCTCTGCTTTCATGAATCAATTTCTTTCAGAAATAGCAACCGCATAGCATACAAATTAAGTAATCGTCCAAAAAAATATTGCGCTTGAATCTATTACTGCCCTCAGTTGATGAAGTCGCTCTTTCAGTAGACATTTGAGTCATGATTCATTCGTCACAGCGCGCTGGCGATGCAAACGCGGTTTTGTCGCTAAGTATGCCGTTCTTACAAAAAAAGAATGATCGCACTGCATCCCACCTGACCCCAAATCTAGCGTCGGCAACGGCCGGGTGCTAAAACTGATTTGTTGTCGAATTCAGTGATTCCCAACCTTTACTGAGCCAAGACACATTATTTTACGTTTGAAAAATTGCACGGCACACCATGAAACAAAATCGTCACAAAAAGAGGATACATCTGTTCCATGTCATTATTTTTGCCATCTAATAGAAGTTCATTTGTTTGTTCTGTCGGTGACTATAAGTTGCTGGCATAGATAGATGAACAAAGATGCATTATTTGTTATTTGTTATATAAAAATTCAACAATAATGTGCACTGGTTAGGAATCACTCGTCTAATGAAGAAAAAGTTACTTTGCAAAATAAATATTCACCCTGCTGGCTAATTCGCACTGAAGTAAGTCACTTGGTCTATCCCAATATGGTTTCTTGCTCAAGGATTGGTGCATTTGTAGAAAAGGGATGTTTCATACTTTGTGTTTGGGGAAAAAAAAAAAACCTGACTAAAAACTCTGCAGTAATACCATAAAATAATACTTGATGACTACGGTATTTTGTACAATCTGAGTTCAAAGCGGAGCACTCGTGCATTAGTGTGTCTCTTTTGCGGTAAACACAGAGGGAATTTGTTGGAAAGCGTAAAGCACAAAGCTTTGACCATAGAAGGGGGCACAGTCATCAAGGAAAACCTCAAAAGAAATATGTTGACAAAAAAACAAAAACAAAAACAAAAAAAAACAAGACATCCTAGGGAGAGAATGCAAATATGCCAATCCAGAGAGAGCAAACAGATTTAGACTTGTGAGTGTCTGACAGCAGCCGAGGGGCTTTCGCACTGCTGACAGTATGTACCTCTGCCGTCTCCTCTCTCCACAGTTCGCACACTGTAATTATTTAGGAGACAACGGATGTAATCAGCAGGAACAAATTTGATACACTCTCTAATCATGGGATCATGGCAGCAGTGCTTACTCTGGTGAAACGAACAACAGCGAGGATGAATACTGCTGTTTAAAAGCCAATGTGGATTGCACTCAAAAAAAAAAATGGCCCTTTCCAACTTGTTTGGCATTCGTTTGTTTGATTCTCCATGGCCAGATTTAAATTCTCGGAATATTAGAATGGTGTCCATAGATCTCCCTCATTCCCTTCTTTGCAATCTTGACAAAGCCTTTACGCCTCCCATGTAATCAAGTAGATTCGTCCGTGAGTCTGTGCATGTGATTCCTGACAATAAAGTGTCTTAAGACGATTTAACCAGGAAAGAAATAGAAAAATATCAGTAAAAAAACATTTTTTTTTTCTTTCTAGAAATCTCAGCATTTTGAAAAGCTCACTTATGCAACATTACAAAGGTTTTGTGTGCCTGCAGTAGGTTGATGGTCACGTCAAAACCCTCTCAAGTAAAACATTTTCCTCAACATGACACTTTACAGTCGAGTCAATTCAAGTCAAGGCCCCTTTTTTGTATTTTCTAGGAATGAGTCCTTCGAACTGTCATACGTTAGAACAGGTGATTTATTTATCCCTGCGCTCCTCCTTTGACACTCGTGGAACCAATAACTCAAGGTCATGATTCCATTTGCATTCAGCACAGACACTGGAACATCAGCATGTATGGAATAGTTAGCAAATTGCAGCTCATCAACAGCATTTCTATCTGTGATCCTTTTATTCAAAGCCACGCAAAGCTGCTATCTCGAGCTTTCACTGAGTGTTTTTTTTTTTTTTTTTTACACGGACAGATGAATGTGTCATTGATCAAAAGACTTTTACAAAGTCAAAGTTCATGAAGGGTACCCAACGGGTCACATGTCAACCTCACTGTTTAATGACATTCATGGTTTCAATTTGATGTGTTCGAAAAATTCTACTGGGGACTGGGTGGGGAAAAAAAAAAAAAATCAACAGTCGAATAAGTCAACTGCAAAAATACATTGGCACAAAATATTTGCCCCAGGGATTTTCCGTGCCCCACGCAACGCAGACATTTCCAGCCTGCATTAACATCCATTTTACTGAATCGAGATTACACATTTTTTTCAGTCTAGCACCAAGTGGTGGAAAGTTGATATTGCAGTCAATGATGTCTTGGCAGGCGTCGCCACAATGATGACATCATTGGCACGGTTTTTACACCGGTTGCCCTTGACACGATAGAATAGAACAGAATCATTTTTGTCATGTACACATGCATACATGAAATTTGACCTTTGCATTTGGCCCACCACAGTAGTGGACAAAGCAAAGACCCACTGCGAGTGCCACAGACTACTTAAGCGTCCTGGGAGCAGTTTTAAAGTATTGGGTGTCCTTCTCTAGTGTTGGGGCGGATGGTCTTGAACCCAGATCCCCACAGTGGCAGGCGACAATCTGAACCACTTTTCGCACAAATCATTTTTGTCGGGGTCTGGGCCCAGTCGTGGCTGGGAATTGGGGTTTTGCAAAGACACTATCATATTACTGTTCCATCCATCAATCTTCTTTATCCACTTTATCCTCACAAAGGTCGCAGGGCATGCT